TAGTCTCAGATGGTTGGGTTGTTCCCATCTTTCTTCTACATGATTCCAAGGGCAACGTGCGGTAAGGTGGAACTTATGACCCCTATAGGTATATGTGTTACGGAGACCTGAGGAGGGGTTTAGGGTTTAGAGTTTCGGGTTTAGGGTTTGGGGTTTAGGGTTTCCGAAGCAAAGGGTTCAGGGAGTTCCCTGGAAGAAAAGGGCTTTCCTAGACCCAAGAGTAACCTAGGAAAAGCAAGGGTTTAGGGCTTAGGGTTTGGGGTTTAGGGCCCAAGAGTAACCTAGGAACAACAACGGTGCCCCTTTTGGATAGAAGGGGCTGATAAGGGAACCTAAATTCCTTCAAAATGAGGGGTAAGGGCCTACTCCGGGTCCTCGTTTCCCAATCCTTTCAGTTGACGGGCGGCGTACAAGTAGGAGACTGACTATAGGGGAGGTTTAGGGTTTATGTATGGTACTTAGTAACCCAATTATAACTGTACTTATGACCCAATGGTAACCGCATTAGGGCACTTAAGGGGCTTATAAGTGGGTTAAAAGTACAGTTTTAGTTGGGTTGTTCAGTACCATGAACCTCCAAGTAGGGTTCCCATAACGCAGGAAACCCTTCCCTTGACGCTACAAGAGGGATCCTAATACGAGCTAGGTAGCATGCCTTCATGAAGGGGTACTCCTGCATGGAAAAGGGGCTTAGGGATTAGGGTTTATGAAAGACTAGAACCCAAACGAAGGGTAGTTACATGGTCCTCTAGTATGGGCCCTTAAACGGGCACCCCCTATTGTACCTCTTATATACCCTATACAAATTAAGGGCCCATATGGGCCCATACATCAGAACCGTGTAAAGGAGGTAAGGGACCGTAATAAGGGCCCATGTAACTACCCTTCGATGAAGAAACAAAACACGAAAAACCCCGAAAACCCTAGGTCCTGGGCAGCTTTCCTTTCAACTCGCTCCGGGCACATTGTCTGTCAAACGCATGCACAGAAATACAATATACAGGAGCCCACGCAATTACCCCTATCATGGGCCTTCAACCCTATAAACCCCCCTAAACCCTAAACCCTAAACCCTAAACCCTAAACCCTAAACCCTAAACCCTAAACCCTAAACCCTAAACCCTAGACCCTAGACCCTAGACCCTAAACCCTAAACCCTAAACCCTAACCCTAAACCCCATACCCCAAACCCTCAACCTTGGGGGCGGAGGGGGGGGGGGGGATCTGATACCGACTTGTGGAGCTTAACGCAGGGTTTAGGTTTAGGGTTAGGGTTTAGGGTTTAGGTTTTAGATTTAGGGTTTAGGGTCTAGGGTTTAGGGCTAGGGTTTAGGGTTTAGGGCTTAGGGCTTAGGGTTTGGGTTTAGGGCTTAGGGTTTAAGGTTTCGGGTTTAGGGCTATTGTTGAAGCTTCAGGGTATATAAATAGGTACCACTGTCATTCTACCATGAACAGATACGAGGTTGTTGCAGCACAGGGGCCTTGATAGTCACCAGTTTTCCCCCCTTTGGTAACAGCCCAACTGCAGGTCGTGCGGGGGCCAGCGGAGAGTTTGTATTAAAGTTGTACAAGAGCTCTACACTTACTACTGTGTTTTTGTACTAAGAAGGAGGTCCCGGGATTCGGTACCCCACAAAACCGCTGAAAGGCTCCTGCAGAGGGATAAAAGGTACTGCACCTCAATGCCTGATTCCCTATTCAGATCCAGCAAAGGTTTCGGGTTTAGGGTTTAGGGTTTAGGGCTTAGGCTTTAGGGCTTAGGCTCCTGTATTGGACCTGTACTTGCAGGCCCTTATACCGCAGAGCAGAGAACTGCACTCCATTGTGTGGTTAGCCTTCAAGCTAAAAGCCTAGAGACCCTAAACCCTGAACCCTAAACCCTAAACCCTAAACTCTACACCCTAGAAACCTGAAATGCTGAACCCGAAGCCTATGAACACAATGTAGCGCAGAGGACGCTGCGGGTAGAGTGTTGCGCCACAGCCCGTGGCTGAGCGCTGCTCTGATCCAGCTCGTGTGAGGAGCATGCAACTGTCCAGCTGGTAGAACATCAAATTCACGCTCCCAATCCATTTCTGAATCCAGGGGCTCCAAATGGCACGGATGTATGCGTTATGTGTAGGGATACAAGTATGGCAACTATACCTATACCCCAACTTCGGGTACTTACGACCCTACTTACAACTACCCATGAACCTCCAAGTAGGCCCGGAGTCCCAAGAAAAGTTGGCCGGCTTGCTCCCTTGAGGAGAACAGCGTGTGGGAGAAAAGAGATCGCAGCAGGCATCCATGGGACACTGCACGTCTTTAGAGCCCTGCGCCTGCTTCTTGAACCAACTAAAGGACATTTTCGGATTGAAGGTATGGGGTTCGGGGTTTAAGGTTTCAGGGGAAAAGCTCTTGTAAGGGACGCTTTTGGGTAAGTAGAATTGCTTCGGGGGAGGCTTTAGAGCTCTTAGTATATGGAAACCCTAAACCCTAAACCCTAAACCCTAAACCCCAAACCCCAAACCCTAAACCTTAAACCCTAAACCCTAAACCGCAAGCATCCGAAATTGTCCGGAACCCTGAGGATGGGTTCAGGGGTCTAGGGAGGAATCCCTCCCATCCCATGAGGGGGTTTCCGAACTTAGGGGACCCTTACTTGCGGTCCTTATTCTAAGCTTAGTTGCTGAGTTCATGAGCCCCAAAAAAGTGTACACTTTCAGTTCCGTCGGGGATTATAGAACCCCAAAAAAGTGTAAAGTGTACTCATTCAGCTACTAAGCAAGAGGACCCATGATCCTTATTCTAGGAAGCACCACCAACATGACAACCCCCAGACCCTCAACCCCAAAACCGATCAACCCGCATTGTCGGAAACCTCGTATATGCCAACTTCCCCTGCTAGGCTTTTGCTTGGCTGAGAGTTCAAGGTTTGGGGTGTGGGGTTTAGGGGTTTAGAGGTTTAGGATTTGGGGTTTAGGGTTCGGGGTTTAAGGCATAAGTCTTAATTGTAGAGGTTTAGGATCCAAATGGGGGGGGTTAGTTGGCAAGGGCTCCAAAGTGCAAAAAGGCGAGTGCTAATGCCTTGTCGCCTGGAGCCATTCACACCCTAAACCCTAAACCTTAAGCCCTAAACCCTACACCCTAAACCCTAAACCTTAAGCCCTAAACCCTACACCCTAAACCCTAAACCTTAAGCCCTAAACCCTACACCCTAAACCCGAAACCCGAAAGCCTAAAGCCTAAACCGTGAGTCGAGGACATGGCCAACGACCGTTTGGGGACTGCCGGCGATAGGAAATCACTGGTGCGCTGTGTTGTGGGTCTGGTGAGTTTACTGTCGCCCCCAATCCCTAAACACTAAGCCCCAAACCCCTGAGTCCAGGCATTTCTTGGGTGTCTTGTTGACGGGATTCTGGCAAGACTTGAGGATATCGGGGAGGGGCGCTCGTGTTTTGAAACCCCGCTATATACGTGCCTACGTGCATACATGCACATATATGTATGTATATATATATCTACACATATATATATATATGATTCAGCCCCGGCGGGCCCCCCCCCCCTCCCCCCCCCCCCCCCCCCCCCCCCCCCCCCCCCCAATGGTACCCCCCCCCCCCTGTGGTGTGTTGGTTGGGGGTTTTAGGGTTTTAGGGTTTTAGGGTTTAGGGTTTAGGGTTTAGGGTTTAGGGTTTTAGGGTTTTAGGGTTTTAGGGTTTAGGGTTTAGGGTTTAGGGTTTAGGGTTTAGGGTTTAGGGTTTAGGGTTTAGGGTTTAGGGTTTAGGGTTTAGGGTTTTCCCCGCGGATGGGGTACTAAGATGATCCCCCCCCCCCCCTGTGGTGTGGTTGGGGGTTGGTTTTAGGGTTAGGGTTTAGGGTTCAAGGTTTTAGGGTTTAGGGTTTAAGGTTTAAGACTTAAGGTTTAGGGTTTAGGGTTAGGGTTTAGGTTTTAGGGTTTAGGGTTTAGGGTTTAGGGTTTAGGGGTTTAGGGTTTAGGGTATAGGGTTTAGGGACCGTAGAGTAGGCTTGGGGGGGGGGGGGATACCATGGGGGGGGGGGGGTGTGTGTGTGTGTGTGTGTGTGTGTGTGTGTGTGTGTGTGTGTGTGTGTGTGTGTGTGTGTGTGTGTGTGTGTGTGTAAAATATAAATAAATAAATATAAAAAATGAATATATACATATATAATATAAATATCAATGTGAATATAAATATAAATATAAATATAAATATAAATATACATACAAATTATCATTATAAAGATAAATATAAATATAAATATAAAAAAACATATAGAATACACAATATAAGTATAAATATAAATAGATACATCCAAATAAACAAAATAACTAATTGAATAAATAAATATAGATAGATCGACATGCATATATCTATATACACACACACGCGAACATCTGCATAAAGACAGCAGCATGGATCTTACTCGGCGGCATAGCTATCTTCAGGTCTCCCTGCCTTGGGGGGCTGGGCGTCCAAACTCTTTTTGCTCGAAGCACATGCACAAGTTGTGATTTATGCTGCCCAGTAACCTAGGCTTAAAAAGGGAGCCCTTTTCTGCTTAAAGGGGTTTATAAGGGAACCTAAACCCCCCAAAAAGGGAATAAGGGTACTACTGGGCATCCTAGTGATTTGTGGTACACCATGGGCCATGTCCTGAACCCTCCGAGTAGGCAGACTGCAGCCCGCCACATCCAGAAACTCCTTCTTGGAGGCTCTTCTAGGGCTCGGACCGAGCCCAAAGACTCTGACGTCACGCGCTGTCGCTGCTCATCTGCCGGCTACGGTGGCAATGAGTCCACCCCACGCGCCTACTTCTGAGGGTGGGGCAAAACTATGATTCCCGGGCCCTAAACCCTAAACCCTAAACCCTAAACCCTAAACCCTAAACCCTAAACCCTAAACCCTAAACCCTAAACCCTAAACCCTAAACCCTAAACCCTAAACCCTACTCGCTTCTTGGAGCTGCTTGAGCACTTCGAGGATATGGTCTCTGGTTTCAGGTCGACACCGCTGCGCCACAGAAACCAGCAATGACCGGAAGTTCATACCTTAGTTGTCCGTTTAGGGTTTAGGGTTTAGGGTTTAGGGTTTAGGGTTTAGGGTTTAGGGTTTAGGGTTTAGGGTGTAGGGTTTACTCGGGGAACTGAAGATTAACCTGAGGGGTTGCAAGGGGATTTTGTTACCCCAAACAAGCTACAGGTTAACTACTCTACTACTAAGATACTGGTGTGCCGAAGTCGACGTTGCAGGTGCAGTAGCTCCTCATCTGACCTGCATGGAAGGCTCTGTGGTAATAGGCCTCAGCCCTAGAACCTATGCTTTCTATCAGGGGGCTCTACAAGGAAGAGGCCCAGAAGAAGACAAACCCCCAACCCAAGACCCGAAACGCATGAACAGTCAAGGGTCCTGCGATACTGTTCGACGGGTCTGGCAGCACCACGGGCAAACTCAAACTCCTGCACGTTGTGCTTTGAATAACAAGCCTGTGAAAATCCTCTATCGCAAGAATTGTAATCTCTTTCTTTGTTGGGGGGAGGCGGTGGGGGGCCACTTGGGTATAGATTCCCATATCCAACCCAAAACCCTCCTACACTTTGAAGCCCCACCTGAACTGAGGCGGAGGTGATTTGTTTTTCCCTAGGTCTGGCTCTCTTTTTTGTGATAATTACAAGCACCGCGCCAAAACCTGTAAATCACCGTGTTTCTGTACGTTCGCCTTTTTGACAGTGCTCCAAATCCTAGCAATTACAGTATTCACGGGCTTTTCACAGTGGAAATAGCAGTGTTCCCTGCATATTTATACATTGAAAATACTCTAAAAACCAGCGAATAGTAATCACGTGCTTTAAAAACTGTAAATGGCTTCAAGCTCCACGGCAACTACGTTGAAAATCCGTCAGGTCCTGGCAAGTACAGCATACAGGTTTTGAGCAGTGCTTTCCGCAATTCAAGCTCCTGTACACTTACAAGAACGCGACACAAACCTGCAATGCGCACCATGTATGTGCGTTGCCACCCCTCCCCCCCCCCCTATTTGCAAACACGATGCTCGCATGATGGGTTTGAAGGGATTCATATGGTCTAAAAGCAAGCTTGCTTGCGCGTCTTAAAAAAGTAGGGGGGGGGGTAGGGAAGGGCAGGGGGCGCATGAGTTTTGCAAGGGATTCGTATGATCCAAAAGCAAGCTTGCACGGCTTGGAAGGGATTCGTATGGTCTCAAGGCAAGCTTGCACGGCTTCAAAGAGCGGGGGGGTTGGGGGGGGCGCCCCCCCCTCCCATTTGCACACACCACGTACGGTCTTAAAATGTCTTGAAGCAAGCTTGCAGGGTGGGGGGGGCGCCCCCCCCCCCCCCCCCATTTGCAAACACATTGCTCGCATTGTGGGTTTGCAAACACAATGCTCGTAATGATGATGTGGTCTGGAAAGGTTTCATATGGTCTTGAAGCAAGCTTGCGTGGATTTTGAAACATGATGGGTTTGGCCATTTACAAACACCATGCTCGCATGATGGGTTTGGAACGGATTCATATGGTCTTTAAGCAAGCTGGCATGGCTTAACAAGGAGGGGAGTTGGCCCTGGGACCGCAGGGCCAGGTGACCGCAGGACTGGAGGACCAGGGGACCAAAGGACCACAGGACCCCTGAATTGAAGTCTCCAAGAACCACTGTGAATGGAGTTTACAGTTTAGGCTTTAAGCTATTCGGAGCCCTGGGCAAGCAAAGCACGGAAGTAAGTAACTGAGCCATTCTCCCACACCAGAACCACCTAGTCCTGTGTTAGCACGTCAAAGATCGGCTGGACGCCTTCCATGTCTGCCCACCTATGTCCAAAATGGTTGGCGGGGCTCAGGAGCTGGTACGGATGCATGATTTGCTTCACCGCCCCGTGAAGGGTCTAGATTATTATTGTTTCTCCAGGACTAGATAATAGGGCTTCTACCATTGGGTCCATAGGCAAATTTGCAGGGCTGTGTCCCGGCCTCACCCTGCGACCATGCTCCTCTAGGAGGCGCCACGTGACTCGCAGGAGGTCGAGGAGGGGCATCGACTGGAGGGCCTTGCGATCCTTTCGGCAGAGCTTTCGCTCTGCACGATGCGCGAGGTGGCAGAACTCGCAATCCGTGCCGGCTGTGCAGTGGCCTTTGCTCCAGCGCACGCAGGGTCGATGGCAGATGTAGGGATGCCCCCTGCTCCCCATGCTGGACCACATGCCGCCATCTCCCCCTGACGATGCGGGCTCGGGTGTTAGATCTTCGGCCGGCTGGAGCTCAGCTTGCTGGACGTAGGTTGGCTGGAATGACCTGGGCAAACTCCGCGACCTCTTCTTAGGATCGTCGTCGTCCGTCTCACGGGCAAACTCCAAGAAGGTGAACCGGATGCGGATTTGCTTCGTGGGATCAGCCATCTCCCGATGACCAGGTGCGTACATGGAGGTTGATCCAGATTCTAGGCTTTTTTTTTTTTTTTTTGGGGGGGGGGGTCGCTATTCCAGTACGGTCAGCACTTTTAGAGTATAGCTTCGGGTACCAAAAGAGTCCGGACTACAGAAGGGACCCTTACAAGGGACCTTAGGGGCTACATTGGAGGCTACTTAGGTACATAGGAACTATATACTATATACTATATACTTTATACTATATACTATAGACTATATACTATATATATATATATATACATATATATATATATATATGTTCCAGGAGGTCCCTCCTTGTATCCCCGGAATGCAGATCTTGGATCAACCTTAGGCCTTCTTAGCCTCTTTGAGCCACTGGGAGAGCCTGCGGAGCAACGATCAGCAAATGACAACAGCGGGTCCCTGACTCATGGTCTCCCATTTCCTTGAGGCCTACACCCTAAATCCTAAACCCTAAACCCTGAACCCGAAACCCTAAACCCCAAACCCTGAACCCTAAACCCTAAACCCTATAAAACCCTAGACGCTGAAACCTGATCAGGGCACTCCTATGGTTTTTAGGGCTGAATTAAGCCCCCCCCCCCCCCCC